ATGTTGTTGTTCTCATTTCTTCATGGGAAGCACATGGTGCTGCCTGATGTGACATCCGACATGTCCAAAATATTGTAGAATTGTCTCTAGGGCTGCCACAAACGATTATTTTGATAGTCGACTAGTCATCGATTATTTTTGCGATTAGTCGACTAATCAGATCATGCATCCATTGGACGTAAAACGTACAGCTTATTGCACCAGCATGCATCTGCTCTTATATAACTGTCATTAGCTTACAGCTTTAAGTGTTTAAGGTATGTGCTAACTAAAAATAAAGACAAGATGATAGTTTATTACTTTTTAATGAAATTTGCAGATTGTTTCAGTGGAATTTAATAAACGCAGCCGTCTGCTCCTTGTTATCTAAAATATAACGGGACACCGGAGTATATTCTCGAGCGTCTCACTTTTGATAATCAGTTGTCTGCTTGACGTTTATTCAGCTGTGTAAAAACTATAACTTTAATCTCAGCCAAACGGATTTACTCAGGAACAAATAAAATACTGAAAAAAGCCAAACAATAAGATTTTTAAGTTATCTAAGTGACTTATATATGTTTAACCTGAGTAGCGAAAGACGGAGGTGGGTTTGAAAATGATTTGCCGGGAGTCCGGTGTTCTCACGGGCTCTAGTGAGCCTTGAACCCCAGATAGCTATCGAGCTGGTGGGTAACAGACGTCTCCGAAAACGTCTGAGTGCTTTTGAAAATATGTGGTGTCTTGATAAACTGAGCAGATGTTTGAAGTTTACACAGCTACATTCTCAAAATATGTTAAACGTTTATTTTGTGACCCAGAAAGAATAATAAGAGTAATATTAAAACTAACTACCTGCCGCCATTGTTGGAAACTGAGCTGGGCCGCGCTATGAATTCTGGGATAGGTTGGGCCACGAAGTATACACCCGACCCATCCTTCAAATCTGGGGAAATGAAGGGCGCATTTGTCGGAGTCTTCGAATTTGGACAGTCTTCGTCGTGTCGCTGTAACCTAATCGGCCTACAAATGCGGGCACAGGAGGATGCGGTTCGTGAACTTGGACACAGCTACAATACCGGACACAGCTTCTTCTTCTTCTTCTTCGGGGTTTAACGGCAGCTGGCATCCTTGTACAGTCTGTTATTACACTCTTAAATCCTACTACTTATTCCTGCATCTTTTTGGATCTTACAAAGCTTCAAACGACGCGTCAACTATTAACAATTTTCAACACCAGTGCACATGTTACGTTTGAAAAGTGAATGTTACAGTTAGGTCCTTCAAAATCTGCAGACTGTTAAAGCTTTGCTATCTCTTTGATAGCTTTGTTTTTGTTTTCCACCCTAGTGATGGCCTCTCTCTGAGCCTGGTTCTACCAGAGGTTTCTTCCCGTTAAAAGCATGTTTTTCCCTTCCCACTGTTGCCAAGTGTTTGCTGATAGGGGGACGTCTGCTATTTGGATGTTTCTCTGTATTATTGTAGAACCTTTATCTTACAGTTATAAAGCGCCTCGAGGCAAATGTTATTTTGATTTGGCAATTGAAGTTCTAGTCAGACGCTTTCAAATACAAGTCCAACACCTGTAGTCATCTCAGAATCTTTATGTGATTTGTAATGGGGTGACCAGGGAACAGGCTTCACCTGACCATGATACTGCTCATCAATAAATTGGCCAGTTACTTTTGAGCCTCTGAAATTGGGGCACTGTTTACTTAAAAATGACCATAAGTCCTAAACGGGTAATGCAAAGTGGGCTGCATCTGTAAAAAAAAATTTATTTATTTTTTTTTAGCTAAACTCCTTTTTAAAAAGAAAGTAAATAGTCTTTTACAAAAACTGGTTTCCTCCTTCATAACAGCTCCAGGGGAAGAATTTTGAACCTTTATTAATATAGGGTATTAGAGAGAAGACATGAAAAATGTGAGACAGCAGGGGGAAGACAAGCAGTAAAAGGACTTGGGGCAAATTCAATTTTTGACATATTTTTTCCCCCTTTAAATTTTAAAATCAGTGACTGTGTAATACCCCCGTCCATTGCAAATAACTTGACACATCACTGTTTCATTAAATGTTAGCATTTAACCTCTGGGCAACGACAGGATGGCAGTGTCTCTCTTTTATGTACAATCTGTGATCCTAACTTAAAGCCACAACTCTCAGGCATGATTCTCCTATTTCTGATAAAAACACAGTCCTTATACAGTTTAAAACTTGCAAATCCACTTCAACCGATCTCCTAGAAAGAACCTGTCTCAGACTGGAAGAGGTACTGAAGACAGAGGCAGGCTGAGAGAGAGCACTGCCTTAAAGAGACTGTATTCTGTGCAAGTCAATAATATCGATCCTTGCTCCTAGAGGCCTTGTGTTGTTATGTAATCTCCAACACTGTGTGTATGAGAGAGTATGATTCACCTCAAGGACCATTGATGACATGTGTGGAGCAGATAGGATTAAAAATGTGTGAAGGGCCTTGCAGCTAAGATCTGCTACCGTGAAAGAAGACTCCCGTTGTTTTTCCCTTGGCCATGTTACAGCATGCACAAATGGCAGCCTGAAATAACACAGCTTTGAGGTATTGGTTTCTTAATGACCCATATTAAACTTTAGTGATGATAGAGGTGTTCAGTGGAATTAATTCCCTCTATTTGTCACCCTAAATGATTATAAGAAGAGTCTTCATCTAAAATTATTTTCCCACCCGGATTTCATTAAATAACTGGTCATGCAGTAGTCACTTGGAGGAGTTGCGTTTGATCCCTGTACTGCTGATTTGCAGCTATTTGTCAATTGCTCAACCCCACCCCACCCCACATCACCTTCCTCATCCTCCTCACCCCCTCCTCTTCAAACCAGCTGCATTCCTCGCTGTTGTGTGTCCTGTGCTCCTGGAATTTGCAAGAAGTCATCGGGGGAGGGATGGGACAGGAAAGCCGGGAAGAGGAAGGCACTGAGTGACAAAGTGGCGCCGAGATCGAAGTGAAGCACTGAGGTTAACAGAAGGAGAGATTGTAAGAAAAGCACAAGAAGAAAAGGATCCAACAGCCAGAGGCAGAAAGAGGAGGAAGTCTGATAAAGGGGGAGGTGTGCGTCCTATTAGATTATCCTGCTCCCCAGGGGAACAGCCAATATTGATGGATTGATTGCAGGCCCCTCCCCATCCACTCAGGTCTCCTGCTATTGGGTGCCACTGATCTGGTGTCTCTTTGGGATATGACGCCCTGTGCATATTTAATTAGCCCTCCATTACAAGCGATCGGTATTCAAGCAGGGGGGTTTAAAGCAAAGCTCAGTGTTTAGCAGCAAAGGTTAAATGACATCTTCCATTTCTGTCCTGAGGGACATTTTTGTCCACGATGATCAGTGCAGCTTTTACCTCATCTCCTGTATGTGGTGCATCCTGATAAACATGGGAGCATATTAGCAATATTTGTGTTAAAATCTCAACAAGCCCAAGACTTCTTTCCAGATTGAGTATTGATTGAGTTTTGGTGGCCTCTTGGCCGCCATGTTTAAGAAGAGAAGTGCTCTCAGGGGTTTTGAGCTCTGTTTGAGCCTCCCTGCTAGGACATGCATATGTATAACTTCTTTATCATTCAAGGCCTTTTCTCTTAAATTAGGTGTGTGTGTGTGTGTGGGAGAAAGGGACTAACACTTATTGTGGTGTTTAATTTATTCATGCTGCTTGTCTCATTTTACCGTCGACCTTTTGTTGACTCACAGCAGCAAAACACAACAGCTTTTCAAACGCCGACGCTGCATCCAGATTATAGTTGAGATGAGGGGTCGGGCACTGTTTCAGAAATAACATCCATCAGTAACAGGCGTGAAAACGCATATCACCTGAACATTTGCTGCTCGTGCTAGTAGTGATTTAAAATGCAAGAAAAACAAAATACAGCATAGATGGAAGTCATCCATGCGTCTATAATCATTATCCATGTTAAATCAGTGAATGAAAAGCAATAGTGAACGATGCAAAACTGTGTCTCCATCACCTGAATAGCCACAGGTCTTAGTTTTTGTCTTTGACAGTATAATTATAATAATTTGTCTTTGGTGCAATATAATCTGATTGAACTGAAAGTTTAAATTCTCAGTGGTCCAGTGACATCAAAGTGGTGTGAACACGAGTCACAGACGATAGAAACGTAGACGCTGAGTCACAGGTAAAGCTAGGTTCTCTTTCACTACGTTATTACAGCTGGGTATTGAGAGGACGGATTGTTGTGGTTGAAAGTATAAAATCCACATGTAGGCGGTCAGAGGCTCAGGTCTACTAGTCCCGTGCTGAATAATGAACGCATATGTGAATGGTGATGGTGGTAGTAGTACCAGTCCATTTACCATTTTATGTGGCATTGCCATGTTTTGTGGCAATTTGGAAATTTAAAGGAAACCTGTTGCTACTATGCTGCGTAATAGTTTATGCAGACTCGTTTATCTTACGCTGTACCTCAGTGCATCGCCCTCATTGTATCCACTCTCTAAAACGAGCTGCTTTAGGTCCCGCCCCGCCCTCCCTTTAAGCTAGCTTTCTTCTGTTTGGTTGCTCCACATTAACCGACGGTTCGAGAAGCAGATGGGTGGGGCTTTCTTTGCCAGACACAACCATATTAGCAGTATCTGAAAGAGAAGACTTGATTTTATTATTTGGAGATGAGGTTCATGTGTCAGCATGTGTGTAGCATTAAGCCCTATGTTAAACTGTTCTTATATCGCACTTTTCTACTCTACCTGAGTATTCAAAGCGCTTTGTACAATATGCCTCACTCACCCATTCATATAAGCACTTTTTTTCCCCTTTTTTATGTAAGTGCAATATAGCTATCTAACATTCACACACATTCATACTCTGATGCATGCCTTTGAGAGCAATTTGAGGTTAATATCTTGCCCAAGGATATTTGGCATGCAGACTGGAGTTGCTGTGGTCAGCACCCAGACTTTGGCCCCTTTGAGCTTGATGTTGATGTCTGAACGCACAGCTGAAACGATGTGTGTGCTCCCTGTTTTCTCAGGTGTTTCTGTTCTTCTGTGAAACCTGCACGGTGCCTATCTGCAGAGAGTGCAGCATGGGCCGTCACATGGGCCACACTTTTGTTTACCTGCAAGACGCCGTTCAGGACTGCCGGGCCATCACCATCCAGCTGCTGGCAGATGCACAGCAGGGACGACAGGCGGTGCAGGTAGGACCGCAACCTCACTGATGATAAATTCTGTTGTGTTTGTATGTTGGTGGTGGTGAGGTGACTCAACGCACTGTGTGTAATATTGGAGCAGAATCAGAAGAAAGTGATTTGAGTGTTAACTCAACAAACCCAAACAATTCAAGGACTTACAGGTAAGGTTGTCCTACTTCTGACAAAAACAAGGTTCTTGCGAAGATTAAAATATCCAAATGAACCTTTATCACTGCCTAATGAGGCTGAGTGGAAACTAGAGAGCAGCTGTGCGTGGCCCCCCCACCCCCGTCTTCCTTCAGGACAGAGTGACCACCTATGGGAGACAATCAGCTTCAATATGTTTGAGAGTGACCAGTCCCTGGTGCTGGGAAGCCTTAGGGGTTAGAGGTCTCCAGCTGGCTCTAAAAAAGGGGGGTGGGGCTGTATGGAATGAGTTCTTTTGAGTGGGGGTGAGGGTGGGGGGGATAAGGCTTAAGGTCAAAGGGGAGGAGGAGTGGAAAGGAGCATGGGGGAGGGTAGATGAGGTATTTAAAGGATTTCAGAGAAAGGAAAACTCCCCTCTTCTTTCACAGAAGTGCAGCACTTTGCCCCCCTGTATTCACTCGCTCCCCCTCCACCTCTTTCTCCCACTCCCACACAAACACACAACACCTCTCTTCATTTACATAATTATAGATTGGGTGGCAGCTTCCTAAGCCCCCCCACCCCCAACCGAAATTCCTGCTTATACAGTGACACATGAATAAGTTGGAGGAAAAAATGTGAGTTTTATTAACTCACTGGTCTTGTTTTGGTTTTTTGGGTTGTTTTTTATTTATTTTTTGGTGGTGGTGGTGGGGGGGTGTTCTTTTTCACTTGTAGTTTTTCACATTAAAAATTCCAAACAATGAGCAGAAGGATTTTCTGTGATTTCTGTGAGTAATAGTGGAATCTTCAGTTATTCACATGTCAATCTAAATGTAGAGTTTTGAACTTCCTTTTTGAATACCTTGTGGTCAAACACTCAGCCAATCGTAAAGTCGGGTAATGGATTAGTTGTTAGTTTGAAATGGTAACTGGCTCACAGGGATACGTCAGACACAGGAGTGTTATCTAATTTGCCTCAAAGGCGGGGTGGTGGTTGTGACCTTGGTAAACACTCACCCAAAACATGAAACACTAGCTCATTGCGCTGAGGTCACATGACTTGCTGGCACGTACTATCTATTCAGTAGAGCATGTGCCTCACCTATCCATTTCCCAGCTTAACCTCTGTGTGACCGCGCCCTGCTTTGTACCTTAATGGATGGGTAGTTGTAGGGATGCACTGATTGTGAAATTCTCAGCCGATCCCAGTGTTTAAAATAGCGAGTTAACAAATGTGGCTTTTTCGTGTGTTTGTTTTGTTGTTTGTTTTAACCCTTGGCCTTTGTCACACTCTCTGTATCTTTGTGCTGCTTGGCTGATTTATTGGTGCGTGAGCAGCGCTTATGTCAACAAATTCAGAAATGTCACCACACAGATTTGCCAAACTCCTGGCCAGAAGTAAAAATCATGTCCCACAGCACACACTGGGATCATCATTATCATCAACAACACCACCAAACACCACACACTTGGTTTCATGAGAAGCACTGGGGTACGAGTAGCTGAGTCATAAGATACACCACCTGCCGTCTGGCAGCACCTTGGGCTTTGTGTGAGTGTTTGTGTGTCTGTCCACTTTTGTCCAGGTCACCGCGGGAGTAAATACTGACGCCAGATAATGTGCAAACACACGTAGGCATAGGCAACACACACGCACACACTCTGCTGTCCCCTGAGGTAGGAAATTTCCGCCCACTCTATACCCATTATCTTCGTTGACCCCTAACCCTGGACTTGTGACCTCCTGGTTGGCCGGAGCTCTATGCCTCAGAAGGTTTGATTGGTTAGTTTGACTCTCTTTGTGCTGCAAGCTGTGCTCCTCTGGGAATGTGAAGAGAAATGCGGAAGATGATGGAGACACAGAGACTGTGAGGGAGAGAGAGATGGAGGGGTGGAAGCAGGAGATGCAAAAAAAAAATCACGGGGAGGGAAGCCAAGATGGTTAAGAGAGGAGAGGGTGAAAGAAATCGTTAAATAGATTTCCTATCAGTATCAAAAAATCAATCTTGTAGAAATGTACAGACGGTGAGGAAAAAGGTGGTAGCATTTCAACGTGGCTCCTTATTAACTTTATTGATAACAGTCGGCCCCTCTGATTCCTTCAGAATTCCCGTCCTGCTGTTTCTTCTCTGGGGGCCTGATTTAGTTGTCCCTTTAGCTGGCTGTTTCAAATAGCCAGGCCAAAGAGAAAAGAGCCCTGCTGCCAGGCTTTATTGCTGCAGGGATGCATTGGGGGGTGTTATGTGTCTTAAGACCGGGGCTGCAGATCGCGAGCGGTGGTTTAGCTGACCTTTGATCCTTGCGGCCGATATCACAAAGGAAGACTTAAACCCTCCTCCCCTTCGTCCCTGTGAGGTCCTGATCACCCTCTGACCCCCCAGAAACTGCCGGAGGAAAGGCCAGATAAAACTGAGAGGCGGGGGAAGGCAAAGGGAAACTCAGTGTTGTAAAAGCTAAGACCTTTTGTTTGGTGCTATTGCTTTTCAGTGATTGTATTGATCCAGGTTATAAACGTGCTCTTTCTGTTGAGCCCGACTGTAAAATGAGACTGCTTTTAAGTTCACAGAGATTCACATTGTAAATACTTTAGTCTAATCTAACCAGTCTAACCATGCAATGGCATCTTCCAATACTTTTCAGTATCCATTCTGTGGACTTTAAATCCTCAGTGTCTCAACAAATGGAGAAATCCACTTCAAACATGATCTTCATGTGATTTTTTTTTTTTTCTTTTTTTCTTCCCCAAAGTCTGTCCCTTCTGGCAGGAAGTTGCATCATTTTTGGGCAGTGTGAAGTGACTTCCTATTCCTGGCCCATGTTTCCTCTTCCCTTCTAAAAGTACCACCAAATGTGACAAAAGAATAGATCACAAAATCTCTGCAGGTGCTCGTGCACTGATTTGGATGTCACATACAGTGTCCTTTTGTTTCCTGATCCTCTGCGTCCTGTTTCTGTGTCCCATATGGCTAATAAAACAGGCCAGTCTTTATACATTCCCGCCCTTTGTCACACTGCAGAGTGACAGCTACATTTGCACGTTATAGTCCTCTCTTTGTGCCTTTCCATTGCTAGTGGTATTTTTTTAATTTTTTTAAATAGCAGCTTGGCTTTTCTTTCCTGTTCTGATTGTCTCCAAAGTTGACAGCATTTCTATGTCACATCTTACAATTTTGTGTTGTGTGTCTCTAGCTAAGCATGGAAAAGGTCCAGGCCATGTCCGAGCAGGTGGAGATCAAGGCTAAAGTGGTGCAAACAGAAGTGAAGGCTCTTGTCCTGAGACACAAGAAAGCGCTGGAGGAGAGGGAGTGTGAGCTTCTATGGAAGGTGAGCTGCTACTTTGTGTATTTATCAGCCTTTAGTGAAACATTTTTACACCTGACTTTGAACTCATTTTATTCAAAAGGGCCATATTAGTGTAAATGTGCCAGAGTTAGCCAAACGGCTACCTTTTTATCTGTAGTCCTTTAAAGCACCATCAGACAGCGTATAACAAATACGTAAGATTAGATTGTGAAAATCCAATAAGAAAAGCTAGAACAGCAGATAAAAGTAAAAACACACACCATCAAAGATAACAAATCAGTCCAAAATGAATGCTCACGGATCTGATTCCTCTTTAGCCATTGAGTTTTAAATGGATTGGCGGTAGTGCATTGTCTTATTATAGCTGAAATATTAGTCCAAATGTCACTACGTTTGACTGATAACACTTCTTTACTAAATATTGGATGTCTAAAAGGTATACTACTGGTCACTGTTCATGGTCAGCATGGTGGCGTGGTGGGTTAGCACTAGTGGTGCAACGGATCACGGTTGATCCGTAATCCGAACCGATCCCACTCCACGGTTCGGCACGCACGTGATTCGAAAAAGAAAAAAAGTATGTGTATGCGTGGTGGGTCTGTCAAGCGATAGTTATGGCCAGCGCTAGCGGTCCAAGTGGAGGAGGAGAGGAGTTTACGGTATTTAAGCAGCCCTTTGCTTCCCAATCCGACCGGGCTAAAGCTATTACAAAAGCTACTGGGGTGTTTAGCTGCAGACGGGAGGCCGTATTCTGTTGTGCAAAACAAGGGGTTTAAACTATGATGAACGTGCTTGAGCCACGCTATGATATCCCGTTCGCGTCCACTTTAGTGGCAAGATCGTTCCAAGCATGTATGAGCAGGAAAAAATTTAAGTTGTGCCTGAACTGTCCCAGGCATCTTCTGTTGCCCTAACTACTACAAATGGGTGGACCTCCAGGGCAACGAAGAGCTACGTGACCGTGACAGCTCATTATATCACAGCGGAGTGCGATATAATGAGCGGTATATATTATTGTAGGGTCTATCTTACAATATAAAGCGCCTTGAGGCGACTGTTGTTGTGATTTGGCACTTTGTAAATAAAATTGAATTGAGTGGTAGATACAAAGACTGTACTGTCCTATATTGTACCATAATTTTTTTTAATAATTGCGTGGAATGAGTCCAGAGTTGAATGTTTTTAACAGGCAAAAAATACTTCAATAAGTAAATGTTAATTTTTTGTCTTTTTTTGCTGATCCGAAAATTGATCCGATCCGTGACTTAAAACCGTGATCCGATCCGAACCGTGAGATTTTTGATCTGTTGCACCACTAGTTAGCACTGTCCTCACATTAAGAACATCCTGGGTTTTAATCTACTGACCGGCTTGTGTCTTTCTGTGTGGAGCGTATGTTTTTTTTTTTCCTGTGAAAGTGGGACTTAAACAACGCAAATTAGACTCCGATGTTGCCTCCAGTGTCGCAGAATTACACCTTCCTATAGGAAAAGCAACTACAGGTCATGTTGTAGCAACAACACCACAACAACAAGGATAAAGGACATTACACACAGAAGAAAAACACCCCACACTTCAGAATTTTTTTGGATTCAAACTTGTTGTAACGTATAAACAAAATGTATAAAAAACTTTCCTCAAAAATGCACTGAAGTCAGCATCAAGTGACGATGAGCTGGTCCTGACGTTTCTAAACACTGGATTAATCCATTTTCAAGTTGAAGCTGTATCATGACCGCTTACATATTTCAAGTTGTTACCATTTCTATATCATTATATATCCAGCATCTGTGCATGTCTTGAGCTGTGAGTGCATTTGTTGGGAAATGCAGTGATGTGATTGGCTGGATCTGTTTATTTGCATGTGAAAAATGGAGCTTGGTTCCGAAATAGTCCAGAAATATTTTAACGCAGGACATATTCACAATCACTTTAGACATCCAGTCTTTAAAGGACTTCAGGATGGAGGGTTTTGTTTTGTTTTGGGTTTTTTTATCTGGTTTGCTCTATCCATTTTCTTTCTCCTTTCCTTTTACCTTTCAGTAAAATAACTGTTACTTTAAGTGGTTCATATCCAATGTAATCATCTCAGCTTTAGCATTCACGCACACCAGTGCAGGAGTGAAAATGCAAACGATAGCACCCATTGGGGCGCAGTCTCCGTGGGGATTAAACACAGGGCTGTAAATCATAGTTAAGGGGAATACGCAGTGCTTGAAAGCATACATGTTGAGATTGGTTAATTAAACAAAATCAAGGCGGCAGCTGTTACGCTGACAGTTTGGCCTAAAGCCTACAGAAGAAGCAGGGCCACCCAGGTTTACAGGAAGATCCATCACCCTGGGATAACTCTGCTTCCAATTCTCCAACATGCGTATCATTATTTGAATCACATGAAAATAGTCCGTATGTTGCGAGTTTAGGAAATATGACTAAGTCTGATATTTTGACCTGATGGAGCGTGACACAGTGCTTCTCCAAACTCTTCTATTGTTTTAGTCATTCTTGTGTTTTTCATTTTTCTCTTTTTGAATCCTCACCACAGTAATAGCAGCCTTTCATCCTCACAACACTTTGGAAGTCCTTAGCATAATATTGATGTGCTATGAGTTTTGCAAGCTAGTTTTGTTCCATTATGTGTCTGTTAATTTAAACAAAATGGTATTTGGGTTATTTGTAACTATTTTTCAGTAAAAACACAATTTAAAGAGGTTTTTATAATGGCTAATTGGAGTAAAACACGATGAGCATCAACCTAAATGCAGTGTAACAATGTAACCGGTGTTATCTATGAGGACTGTTTCCGGACTTTGCTCTCTTACTATGGGGAACTTGCAGGGTGCACTGAGCAGCTCCTCATGTTTGACTTACTGTACTGCATTTTAAACCAATGCAAACGGGCTCCTGTGCTGTCTTCCAATATGCCAGCTGCACATCTCTCCAAATGCTCCAACAACCAACTTGAGCATAAGGATGATTCGCCAACAGACCGGTCGTACCACACATAAAACAGGACAGGGATGTCATCTTCTGCTGGCCACTGTGATGGTTACTGGTGGGCCCAGTGGTGCTAGAATAAAGGAAACAGTCTCCAGTCAGGTGCTCTTCAGTCACCCAGCACTGTATATCTGAAAGTGGACAGTTTCATGATTCTGAGTTGAGGGTAAACATGCTGCATACGTGACTGAGTCGTGTGCGCTTGAATAACTAGGACAGGAGCTGGTCCTGCTTTGCTCTGTCTCGTTGAAATGCACACCACCTCAGCCATTCTTCTCTTCACCACATTCAGCCGAGGGACTAAAACTAGTTGTCTGTTCATCAGAAAGCCCAACTTGAGTCTTTGTCCTCGGCGACTCTTAAGTGTAACTCTAGTCTCACAGATGCAAATTACAGTTTCACCTATGCCACGGGTTAACAAAGAATCCCTCTCTTCTGGAGTCTTTGTTTCTTTCGGGTCCCTCCCCGCTATCAGAAGTCCTTCTAACCACAGAGGCAGTCGGGCTATTGTGTTTTACTTTTTCTTTTTTTTTTCTTTTTTGTTGGGTTGCAGTAAGTAAGAGCCCAGTCGGTGCTTCTCAGGTTATACCACCCTCTTTAATGCTTTATACTCTCTGACTCTAGTGGAACCTAATATGACTTCTAACAGGAGCAGTGTTACAGTTAAACGAGAGTCAAAGTACTTAAAAAGAGGTGGAAAAAACCACACCATTTTTTTTAAACTAATAAATAATTTTGGTTCTTTCCCTCTCAGCTTTTCATCTCCAGTCCTGGTGTCTTTGATACAGTGTTACGCACTTTATTGTGTTCTGTTGTTCAACAAAGGAAAAAAGGTCTCTGGACATTGGTTAGGAAATCTTGACTAGAGTCATCTTTTTGCATAGATGATGATGTTTTGTTTTGTGAATGTTGTATTTAAAATATAACAAATATATAAGCAACTATTTAGAACATTTAAAGAAATCTTTATCAGTGTTTTTCACTTGCAAAGGTCTTCCAAAAAGGTATTAAGAATATGTGCTACATCATGATTTTATTACTTGGATAAAGAAAATGTTTTTCTTTCAGTTTATAAAAGAGGAGACTGTTTTCTCTTTGCTTGACAGTTCAGAATAATCATCATGTATGTTATGCTGGGGCTCAGTTCATGCTCTTGAAACGAGCTGTTTAGCTGCTCTGACTTAAGGCCAACTTTCTTTGGATTGACTGGCCTTCGCAAATGGAAAATTTAAAAGGCAGATGACTGTTCTTTGGTCACAGCTGATGATGCGTACCTGAGACGGTTATATATCCTATCTGACATCATACGGGGCTAACAGTAGAAAAAACTGTCTGAAACGGCACATTCAGAGCATTTGATGACTGAGCTTTTTGGTTCAGGGTAAAACATACACTGACCTGATATTTTCACTGTGTATGTATATGATAGAAAATAAGAAGGTGCGTAATCGGTTTCCTTCTAGTCGTAGTTTAAGCAGTTTGATAAAATTATTGAAAGTAACTTATAACAGTAACATTACTAGCCTTCATTAAACTCGGTGGTTTAGTATTGATAGACATTATTGGTGTGTGACCTGATCCACATGGCAGAAACTATTCACCGGCCACTTCATTAGGCACATCATTAGGCTCGCTAACTGCTTGTTAAAACACACATCTAATCAATCAATCAAATGGCAGTTACGCAATGCTATTTAGTAGACATGGTCAGGATGATCTGCTGCAGATCAAATGGCATAGGAATGGGGAAGGAAGGTGATTTAAGTGACTTTTAACGTGGCATGGTTGATGGTCTTGGGAGTATTTCAGAAGCTGCTGATGTTCTGGGAATTTCCCACGGAAATTCCCAGGAATTGGTCTGAAAAAGGGAAAATATCGAGTGAGCGGCAGGACTTTGGGTGAAAATGAAAATTTCTCTTAACGATCTTTTTCATTTTCAGCCTTTAAGTTCTTTTGAACAAGAGCGGGTGACACCATGAAACAAAATAAGTCTGCTAACTGTGTGTGTTGATGGGTACATTTATTTTTGCAAGACTCTACTTTGCTATTGTGAGTCAAAGTGCATTTCTAATGAGTTGAATCTTGTCGAACAGGATGCTCTTGAATGTGGGTAAACATTCGCTGTAGCTGTCTTCCTAATCACCCGTACCAACTCCTTGCAGGTGGAGAAGATCCGCCAGGTGAAGGCCAAGTCTCTGTACCTGCAGGTGGAGAAACTCCACCAGAGTCTCACCAAGCTGGACAGCACCATTGCTGCTGTAAGCCAGGTGTTAGATGAGGGCCACCACCTGGATGTGTTGGTGGCGAGGGAGCGAATGCTCACTCAGATCCATGAACTCAAGGCCCTCAGAGGCTTGCTGCAGCCACAAGAGGACGACCGCTTCATGTTCACTCCTCCAGACCAGGTCAGCATTAGAATGATTGCAAGCCAGTCTTAGCTTACCTCATTTCACTGTTCAGTATTTTCACATTTACAAATAAATGTTATAACACAGAAGCTCAATTAACTGCATCAATGGTCCCTGCAGGCGCTCTACATTGCCATCCAGTCCATGGGTCTGATTAGCAGCGGGGCTTTTGCCCCCGTGACCAAAGCCCACGGTGAGGGTCTGAAAAGTGCCCTTCGCAGTAAGCCTACCTCCTTCACTGTGGTTGGATACGATCACGATGGCGAGCCACGTCTTTCAGGTGGGGATGCGGTGTCTGGAATAGTCATGTCGGTTACAGATGGTAATGTGTCCGCAGCTGATGTAACGGATCACCAGAATGGCTCGTACACCGTCGGCTACCTGCCAAAATGTGAGGGGGAGCATCTCGTGTCCGTGCTGGTGTGCAACCAGCACATCCAGGGCAGCCCCTTCAAGGTGACTGTGAAGTCTGGGCGGAGCTATGGGTCACTCGGCAACCAAGTGTCATCCTTTGGCTGTGAGGGCGAGGGAGACGGTCAACTTTGTCGACCCTGGGGCATCTGTGTGGACAAGGAGGGATACGTGGTGGTGGCTGATCGCAGCAACAACCGTATACAGGTAGGTTTGTTATTGTGATGTCATCACTAACGGAAAGACTTTTTATTGAATTAAAGAGTGAGCATGAATTTTAGATGTACAATACAAGGAACAGCTTGGTTTGAGGTCTTTGAGGTGTTTGAGTGATGCTTAGCATGAAAGCATTAGCTGTGTTTACATTAGCGTGAGTGCATGAATGAGTCTTGCTGTATGGAGCGCTGTGAGACTTTTAAAGAGTGAAGTCTGGGCGGAGACTTAAAGCGGTGTTTTCTCTCCAGATATTCAAGCCTTGCGGTGCCTTCCACCATAAGTTTGGCTCTCTGGGTTCTCGACCTGGTCAGTTTGATCGTCCGGCTGGGGTTGCATGTGACTCTCAGAGGCGAATTGTTGTGGCTGATAAGGACAATCACCGTGTGCAGGTATGAAAGCCCCGTTAGAGCTGATCAACACAGCTGGAATTGCCTTTGACTTTCCATTATTCACAGAAAAATTAGGTGGGAGGGTAAAGCCCTTTAAAAAGTCGGCTTTTGATAAAACATAGCTCCTCACGCTTACTTTCTGTCTACTCCTCATGTAAACATACGAGGCTCTAAAATGTTTGCTCTCTCTGACAGGTGTTTACTTTCGAAGGCCAGTTCCTGCTGAAGTTTGGGGAAAAGGGTACCAAGAATGGGCAGTTTAATTATCCCTGGGATGTGGCTGTCAACTCTGAGGGTAAGATCCTGGTCTCAGACACCCGAAACCATCGTGTGCAGCTCTTTGCCCCTGACGGTTCTTTCCTCAACAAGTACGGGTTTGAAGGGACCCTGTGGAAACACTTTGACTCTCCCAGAGGTGTAGCCTTTAACCACGAAGACCACCTGGTGGTGACCGACTTCAACAACCACCGCCTCTTGGTTATTCGACCAGATTGCCAGTCTGCTCGCTTCCTGGGCTCCGAGGGCACCGGGAACGGACAGTTTCTGCGTCCCCAGGGCGTCGCCGTGGACCAAGAGAACCGCATCATTGTGGCCGACTCGCGCAACCACCGAATCCAAATATTCGAGCCCAACGGAAACTTCTTATGCAAATTCGGCTCGCATGGGAGCAGCTTCGGACAGATGGATCGCCCCTCCGGTGTGGCCGTGTCGCCCGATGGAGCCATTGTGGTCGTTGACTTTGGAAATAATCGCATCCTCAAGTTCTAAAAGGAAAAAACCAAACTTTTTTTGTATTCTCTCCCTACCTTTGCCTTTTTTTTTTTTTTTTTTGCAGTTTTTCCGATGAAGGAAACGGTGGAGAGAGAATGGATCGGCAGAAAGGAGGAGAGCTCAAAGATGATTGGGAGCATGCTGAAAAGAAGGGAAATTGAAATTATAGATTATTTTTGTCATTTTCATTTCTATTCTTTAAAAAAAATCTGATACCTGTGATATATACATCAAGGGGGGACCTCTAAAAATTGATAATCAATAGAAAAAGAGCCATATTTCCCTTCCTCTGCCTCAGCTGTTCCGAATTCTCTGTGTCGGCTCTCCTTAAGGAAACATCTCAGGGAATTTCTCACTTGTTCAAATCTTGTACTCTCTGCTCCGTACCTACCTCATTTACCTTATGAATGTACACAGTCTCCGAGCAGAGGTTTTTGTCCTTGAAGTTTTACAAAGAAGAAAAGTCTACCTCTATACTTTGTTATTTAAGAGAGACAAAAAAAAACAATAGACTCTACATTTAATATTTGCACAGGATTAATAGAATTCTTTCTGTGCATTTTGAAATTTGAGTAAACCTCCTGAATGTTGTTGCTGAGACAATACTCAGACCGCTGTAGAGGTTGCATGATTCGCCCTAATTAGAAGGCTTGGCTGAGAGGAAACTCGTAGAATAGCGTCTTTTGATGTTTGTAGTTTTGTAGCTTTTTTGTTTCTTTTTTTTTTTTTTGCTCTCGCATTTAACGTCGTCTTTGTGTGGCTCTGTGGTGGTGTTAGTGTCATGATAGCCTAAGAAGTCTGTGTGAAACGATGCCAAACTTGATAGACTTAAAATGAGCTCAGGTCATTAATTAACTGTAACCTCAGGCTCTCCTTCTAGCTTTACTGGCTAAGGCTTTTATGATGAATTTACTGATGTGTAGAAATATAAAGTTCAGGAGGTCAGATTTACATAGCCCCTCTAATGATATGAATTCTTTGAATAATACCCCATAAACCCCGGCCTCACTTCTAACCCACTGACTGGATTAGTAATTACTACCCAGTCAGTTAATTAAAGAGAGTAATATGCAAGGAAAGCAGCATCCTTTGTCTGGTCTCCCAATAGGAGGACTAGATAAAGGATTTTAGAATTGAATCTTCCAAGATCTGTACCTAATAGATTTGTCTGAACGTTTAATTAAGAAAATAAATTAAAATGGTTATTTAAGTAATCGAATGACACCCTTATGATGAGGCGTGCTGTGTGACGAAAGCCTCGGAAATGGACACCTCATTTGGCCATCCAGATCAGATTAAAGGCCTAACATTACAATCCTCTGCATTCACATTGTGGTTCAAAGCCACTTTCTTTGGCTCCAGGGGCCAAGTATTCAGTCCTGTCCAATGAGAGAGGACGACCTCCAAAGCCCGGCCCTACTTATTGATGCTTGGAGTTGAGACGCCTCCAGACTGAACGCTAGTAGACCAATTCCTCTAAAGATGGAGGTCTACAGAATAACTACTAGAGTCAACCAAAGTTAGAAATCCTGCACAATGGCCAACAGAAGATTTGGCAATTTTAAAGAAAATCAGAATCTCAATTGTAAAACATTTCTCAAATAATCATTGTTGTTGAGAAGTCTAAAAGTTGATAACACTCATTGAAATGAGTTGTGGGCTTTGAAGAAGAACACGTGCTTGGGGTCACAGTTAGTTGTGCACAAGTACTTCCACTTCCCACTAAGACAGAGGCACTGCCTGTGTGAGTGCATTTTTAAATTAGATCCTTGTCATAGAGTACAGGAGATACTTGCACCAAAGAGAAATTCTCCCTCCCCCCTCACATTTATCACCCCCAGCTCATCGAGCAGTGCCACAGTTTTACCATAGGCTCAAGGTAGCGTCTTTGGTCATCCTCGCACATATCCAGATTCCCATAAAGTGATGGACTCATTTGTGGTGAAAGCACTATGGGAATCCCCTTGTCCTTCAATCTGCCTCTCACCACAAACACCAGACTATTGCGGTTTTCTTAGCCACTTCCTTAGCCTTGCAAAGTTCTTGAACTATTAAATATTGGCTGACTGGCTCTCACCTCTGAGGTGAGGTCTGTCTGCACGTGATCAGGATTTCCATCCTCTCATCTCACATTTCCTTTACCTCAGAACTCCTGTTTCATATACCTCAACTCTTAAAAAATACCTCAAGTTTGTCACTCGTTGCTACTGTGCATGTAAACCTTCAAATACCTCTACTTTTGTTATTCATTCTGAATAGATCATGTTTACTCTTTTATTTATGCATACCTCCTAGGATATTTATACCTCATTCACGTACCTCACAATACAGTACATGCCCCATAGTTCTAGGACCAAAGATCCACGGTACTGTTCAAAGTTTGAATGAAATGCGCTTTATGGTCATCGCTCCATGCTCGTAAACCTGAACAGCCCTTGGTTTGTTGCATCTACTGTAAATGTTGGGGTATGTTTATGCTTTTTCTCACCAAGAAACCAAATGATTCAGACGAAAGCATTGTGCCAAAATGATTTGTGATAGTTCTGTGCCAAGCAGAGTTGAAAATTTTTGGACCACGCCTTTGTAGACGACTAATGTCACTGGACTATTATCAAAGATACAAATGTTAAATCAGAGCACCTGAGGATAAATCCTCTTCCTCTGACTGGATGCACTTAAGAGGGCTGGGCCCCGTTTACCTTTACCTCATGATGATAATGGGCATGTCCATTCCACTTGTAAGTTGTTCTAGTGAGCCAGGGGTGAGGGCAAGAGGAAATGTCCTCTTTTAAAGCGTTACCGTCACATGTCCGCCTTTTTTGACTGCACATGAATTACCTCTTATTTCAGCACAATATTGCCGCGTGGATTTTCAGGATGCTTGGTGTTGGCTCTTCCAGAGGAGTAGCCTCTGGGAGTATCCTTTCAGACTGGTGGTTTAAAGCAGTGATTCCCAACTGAGCAAAAGCTGTTCCCCAATAAAGATCGAGTGAAGATGAAGAAATGTGAGGTGTAAAGTTAACAAAAAATAAATCCGGAAAAAGCTGCAAAATGATTAACTAGTATCAAAAAGTGAGAAAATGGTTGGAAAGCTTGATGGTAGGCCAATGGCATGCAATGTAGTCACAACTTTAATCCGTTGTTTCTACACAAATTTAAATGAATACTTATAATTTAAATGTTATATGATGTCCCTGAAAATCACATTTAAACTTCACTACCCTTGTACTAATTTTTGTATGAAATAGATTCCCCCCCCCCCCCCTTTTTTAAAAGGGGGGGGGGGGGGAGATATCTGAGGATATTCTGAGGAATCAATGGTGGAGTCACCAGAGACAGTCTTGCATTTCAGATTTTCAACATCATTTGTATCATTTCAAGATGGGATTTCATTTAATTTGGGTTAGAATATCACAGTTGTCCCCTCCTTTTTAAATCTTTGGTTTCCATGGTGATACGTACCCACTTTCTCTGGATAAAATCGTAGACTGTATACAAAAGATAGACTTGGCTACCATGATGGCATCCACTGTTATGTGAATCTCGCAAAAACCACATTTTTGATGAGGGGCAGGTCAGATTGTGAATCTTACTATTTGGCTAACGAGTAGTTAATCATAAATCATTAGCCAATGAGCGTACCACGGATAGGCCTCCATTTAAAAACATGGTATGTACAAGATTTACAAAATGGACTTTAGTATGACTTGAGACATGTGGCTGAGCACAAAAACTTAGGTGGAAAGACAAGACAGCCATTTTCCCACATATTTCTGAAGGACCAGAAGCCTTTTTTTTTTTTTTTTAAAGAACGATAGCTATCGCCATCTAGTGGCCTTTGGCTAGAGTGCAGGTTTAAGGCACTGACGTATCTGCTTCGTTTTTCCATTCAAAAGCTACGTCCATGTTTCATCATACTCTGTGGTGAAAATTCTGCTTCTGACAAATGACTCACAAATTTGCGCTCGGTCACAATTCATGTCTATGAATAAAAATTTAAAAAACCCAATCGATCAAGAAGACCAAAATTAGCCGCTATGTTTTTTTGGGATTTTTCTTTGACAGTTTCTGGTTTGGTGCGAGACCAGGCCGTAGTACATGATGGATGAACTGTTAAATTGTTTGCTAAAACCATAGCCAAACAGTTGAATGGCAGTATGGATAAACAAATAAAACTGAATGGGTAAAGGACACCTTAAACTGCTAGCTAAAATTATTTTTCCAATTTTTATAAAACATCTGTTATTTGACTTTAAGTACAGGTAGCAGATAAATTGTTAGCTAATAGCTTTGATTGAGTAGTTAAAATAGCCAGATGGAATGTCAAAAAAATAAAAAAAAATAAAAATGTAGTAGTAGTAATAGTAGTAGTAATAGCTACAAGTAGCGAATGAATGGCGGGAACATTGTGAAATAGGTTGGAATCACTGGTTTAAACAAATGCATGACAGGATTGTAGATGTAGCTATTAGCACATTTAACCACTGCTGCTTTGACTACAACACCCAGTTTCAACCAGTAGAGTAAAACATTTTTTTTCCTCTTCTTCTCAGTATTACTCTTTGACATGTTTGTTCGTGTTGCATCGGGTTTTATTTTTTAATTAAGATTACAGAATTCTATCTTTAAGATCCTTAGGTCTTCACTCTTAAAGAGGAAAAAAAATGTATTTTAAACCTTTTTTATTTTGATTTTTAATTTTGTTGCATGCTTTAAAAAGTCTATGTATTATACTGATGTCTCTTTAGATAGATGATAAACTGAGATGGAGTGGGTAGCTGATTATTGGGGTGGTGTTTCCAAAATGGATACCCAAAAATGCGTGTGTGTTTGAGCGCGCGAGTGTGTGTTAGGATTGCGTTGGATGGAATTAACCGTTGACTTTTGTGATTGTATTTCCTGTTCTCTAGAGGCTCTGCAAAGCACCCACTGTTTGGGTAGCCATACTTTGAATCCACAGAAACAACCGGCAGAGTTTTGACTGGAGTGACCCTTGATGAATTTTCCTCAACTCCCTCTAAAATGCTTTATATGAGCGGGCATATAGGAATGCTGTCCTTTCATGC